TAGGAAAGTTATTTAATAATTTCATTATATCAGGCATGTGTATTTGCGTAGATTATTGTTATTTTAGATAGCTTCTGATTCCATCCTTGTCTGTGGAATTATTTCTTTACCATATCCAGCATCCAGCTTATTATCAGTTATTATCAAAGAACTATTTCATACTATATGAATTGATTAGAATTAGCTTAATACCCTTAGAATGAAGAAAAAACTAATAATGAAATAGATGTGAGTAAAATATTGTGGAAGTAATTCAATGCTGGTCGAGGCAGAGTGGTTATTTCTCATCATATTATTAATATTTATACCTAATAATAATGTTATGACAAAGTAAACTACTTCCACACATATTTATTAAAATTATAAATTAGTTTAAATATCTTACCTTTATCTTTTTTAAGAAAGATCACTAATTATAAGTATAACGCACAATATACGCACAACTCACTACTACAACTACACAGCGTGGTCTGTCTGACCAATTGCATCATTGCTAGTCTAGACGCGCTGTTGTTTCTACATTAAATCTTCTGTAAATATACTTACCCTTTAATGTAAAATCACATAACCAAATGAAATATACATTTTTATTGTAAAATTTTTTAACTGTGGTAATAGCACGGTGTAAATTTACCGAAATTGAGATTATAAAGTAAAAACACATAACTTTCTTAGTAAAATATAAATATTTTTATTATTACGAAGAATATTTAATTTTACTTTACTTATTATGTAATACTGTAGTGTAAATTCACAAATGTATTGGATTTTTACCCCAATTTTTAAGAGTGTATGAAAACCACAGACACTCATGTAGCAAACTTTCAGACATTAGTGTTCTGTCACGAGACCATTTCAACTTATCAAAACCTACGTTAAAATCACTTTATTTTTATTATAAATGAATCAAACTGAAGCTCAAAGTTTTACTGTAACCATAGTTAGACGATCTTTTTTTACGAATTAGCGATCATAAACAAACGTAGCACGATAAGTTTTTCCAAAATTGGCGACAATAATCAGTTATTTTACCTTGAAATAAATGTTGAAAATTGTTGAAAAATGCATTATGTTCTAATATTATAACTATTCAATTAGATAAAAATGTCGACATTGATAATAATTATAAACATGAACTATGAGAAATATACTTGAAAAGTAACAAATAAAATGTATAGTCATAAATTTATTTATACAGAACTATGCATGTGACATGAAAATTTCAAAGTTTTTAGATATGAATAAGAAAGATGAAAAAAGCTGCAAAAGTATAAAAGTTTATTACATTTCAATTAAAAAAAAGACAGTAAAAATTATTATTATTACATTAGGAATACACATAGATTTATCAAATATTTTTCTTAGGTATCAATTAAACTAAAATTTTAGTGATGCACCCGTGTCTTCATGTATTGCATCACATTACAAGAGAATTTGCACTATTACTCTTCCACTCGAAGAAAGACGCAGAAGTTGACTTTCTTTTCTTCTAATTTTATTTCCTCTGTTGATTGTTGATTGACTTTACCCGTGCTCTTCCTTCTGTTCCTCCATCTTATGTAAAACTCTGTTCTATGTTCTAATAGGGCATACAAGACTTTTTAAGATTTAGACAAGATTTAAATACGACAGCAAAACAATTACAAACAATAAAAGAGATACTTACATAACTTTTCACTTCACACAACACATTATGATCATGTCTATATTGTCAATCCTCATCCAACTAGAAGAAACGTAATAGCCGACGCAATTACAGTAAATAACATTTTTTATAGTCCTTTAACAGTCGGTATCTCGAAAATGGTTGTGTTTAAAAAACTAGGAGACTATTTGTAACAAAACCATGTATTCTTTTATAGTGAATTATGTTTGAGATTTCTCATCAAAACCGAATTACTTCTTTTCTATAACGACAGGATAGGATAGGACAACTTTATTTTCAAAATACTCTGCGATAATCACCTTTAAAATAAAATAATGTTAATAAAGTTTGTATTAAAATTTATCCTATAAATCTCAAATGCATTGTTTGCTAATACCATTGTATAAGTAAATACTTATACAATGCTAATACGATATCTAGTCTGTCATTGAGAGAAAACTTTTCATCTGTTATCTATGTCTGTCATATATATCCACGCGTTCAGTCATTTTTTGTAAAAAAATTGTTATATACACTTCTGCAAAAAATTAAGGGAGCAAAAAAATTTTTCGGATTATTAGTGATTTTTCAGAATGCTGTATCTCAGTTAAAAATGATCGTATCAAGGTTTTAAAAAAAGCATTTTAAAGCGCCGAATGTCTAGTTTCCAGATTTCTTAGTTCAAAATTTTTAGGAGCGATAGTCATCGCAAAATTCTAAGAAATAAGAGTAACAAATTTTTTTTTCAATTTTTTGTGTTTTTTTTCTCGGTCCACGGGCTTGGAAAAATTTTTTACACAAAAATCATAATATGGACTTGATAGCCTGTTCATTCAGCTTTAATTTCTTTTTTTTAATTTTTCTTTACGTTAATTTGACCCGGAGATATTCGACTACGAATACAAAAGCATTATTTTGGCTTTAACCATCGATATCTCAGCAACTAATGATCAGACAGAAAATTGACGGGCAGTTTCGAAATCTCGAATAAATGTCCTACAAGGCTATATAGCGTTCTTGGAAGAAAAAAATTTTCTTTCATCCTCTACATTAACTTGAAAAAAGTGAAAAAAAGTGACTTTTTGACTTGTTTTGCTAAGTCGACCGCATCTTTGCTAATATCGATGGAGAGTCTAATGCTTGTACGAATTTTTACACCTCGATGTACCCCCAAAAGCTCCGTAAATTGGCAGATCGATCTATCGAACGGTTTTTCCGGACCGCTTAATCAAAATTTCAGAAAAATTTAAAGGAGCAAAATTTACATTTCTGAGCACCCTGTAACGTTCGTAAAAATGAAAAATTTGATTTTTTTTCAATTCTTTCACAATTGGGCATTTTTTGCTCATTGAATTTGAAAAAAAAAATAATTTTTGAAAAAAAAACTTTTTTTTTAAAATTTTTGAAAATTTTTTGAAAATTTACTCTTTTTTATTTTTTAACAACTCAAGATAAAAATATTGAGTCATTTTTGAAGCGATGTACTCTTTCCGTACCGTAATTTCCTTTATTTTGAATTAACGAAATTGATTAAAAGTTGATACCCCCAAGATTGGTGTAGTCCTCGATCTGCGAAAAAATAGTGCGTATTATCCTAAACTTTCTTACGAAGCTAACAAGTGTGAAAAAAACAGTTTTTTTTTAAACTCTATCTTTGATTCAAAGGAACCAACCAACAGTTTTTCTCAAAACTAACAATATTTTTTGTAATTCTAGTGAAAAAAATTAATCAAAAGTTTTTGTAGACTTCAATTTTTTTAATTTTTGTCATGCCTAGACGGCATTTATCCGCACCAGAAGTCGCTCAGCTTCGTAAGAAAGTTTAGGATAATACGCACTATTTTTTCGCAGATCGAGGACTACACCAATCTTGGGGGTATCAACTTTTAATCAATTTCGTTAATTCAAAATAAAGGAAATTACGGTACGGAAAGAGTACATCGCTTCAAAAATGACTCAATATTTTTATCTTGAGTTGTTAAAAAATAAAGAAGAGTAAATTTTCAAAAAATTTTCAAAAATTAAAAAAAAAATTTTTTTTTCAAAAATTATTTTTTTTTTCAAATTCAATGAGCAAAAAATGCCCAATTGTGAAAGAATTGAAAAAAAATCAAATTTTTCATTTTTACGAACGTTACAGGGTGCTCAGAAATGTAAATTTTGCTCCTTTAAATTTTTCTGAAATTTTGATTAAGCGGTCCGGAAAAACCGTTCGATAGATCGATCTGCCCATTTACGGAGCTTTTGGGGGTACATCGAGGTGTAAAAATTCGTACAAGCATTAGACTCTCCATCGATATTAGCAAAGATGCGGTCGACTTAGCAAAACAAGTCAAAAAGTCACTTTTTTTCACTTTTTTCAAGTTAATGTCGAGGATGAAAGAAAATTTTTTTCTTCCAAGAACGCTACATAGCCTTGTAGGAAATTTATTCGAGATTTCGAAACTGCCCGTCAATTTTCTGTCTGATCATTAGTTGCTGAGATATCGATGGTTAAAGCCAAAAGGATGCTTTTGTATTCGTAGTCGAATATCTCCGGGTCAAATTAACGTAGAGAAAAATTTAAAAAAAGAAATTAAAGCTGAATGAACAGGCTATCAAGTCCATATCATGATTTTTGTGTAAAAAATTTTTCCAAGCCCGTGGACCGAGAAAAAAAACTCAAAAAATTAAAAAAAAAATGTTTACTCTTATTTCTTAGAATTTCACGATGACTATCGCTCCTAAAAATTTTGAATTAAGAAATCTGGAAACTAGACATTCGGCGCTTTAAAATACTATTTTTAAAACCTTGATACGATCATTTTTAACTGAGATACAGCATTCTGAAAAATCACTAATAATTCGAAAAATTTTTTTGCTCCCTTAATTTTTTGCAGAAGTATATAATTAAAAAAAAAAAACAAGTCCAAGGCTATTACACTATTCTTTCAATCTTCGGAATACTAGGAATTCTATCTTTATTTATTTTTTTATTAATAAACGGTTAGTTTTAAAACAAAAGAGAGAGGTAAACGTTTTAAAATATACCAGGCTATATGATACGTATTTTTGATTATTCAGTTTTTGTCAAATTAAAAAGTTATAGCACAAAATAACTGAAGGAACGCTTATTTTCTCCAAATTTTCAAAAAATCGTTCGAGAAGTTGCACATGCATTCGTAGAAAATTCATGTAAAATTTGACCTTTTTTGGTTTTCCAATTTTTTTTAAACTTTGAGTGACTATGTCCTAAGGAGTGGAAATTTTACTAAGATCCTTTTTTGCAAAACGTATTATTTTTAATTGTAGATTCACCGGTGTTTGTCCAGTTTTTTTAAAACACCCTGTGTATTTCTAAGTAAAAATTAATAACGAAAAAAATAAACATCTTTATTATCCACTGTGGATATTACAGCTTGTTATAAATTATGAACATTTAAGGTTAAAAGTATGTCTAATGTTCTAGTTCTAAGCGAATGCCTTCTGCAGTGTAAATCAGTCTTGGGTGGACACTTTGCCATTTGATGAATTCTCATTCGGCCGATATGTTCGATTTTCCATTATTTTCTAAATTATTCTCAATAACCACCACGCTTACGGCATTATTATAGCTTCCCGACAGTTCCTGAACTTGCTTAGTTGATTTCGCTATAAGAATTTAAAGTATATACTATTGTGTGACATTGCAAGTAATTTATACTTACGTCTAGCGAAAATCAATCTTTCTAGAGCTATAATCGGCGACTCGAAGCATAGCGTCCACACAACAGCTAAAAGTGACGAGAACACGTAGTCACCCCAAAAATAGTAAACCTAAAACAGACAATTACTGTTTTTAGTATAGATTTTGACAGAGACCAAGACCAAATCAGGGAAATCTCATGGAAAAAATTGTGTTCGATATATGTTGTGTTGATAAAAATTGGTAATACATTTTTTTTATGTACAGGGTGATTAGTTATAAATGTCACCTCCAATGAACTTTATTGTTCTTGATTTTGGAGAAAATAACAAAGTTAACTACAGCGGCGTTTATGACGATTTACCCAACCACTTACGTAGTCAAAGTGAGATGCGTATGTTGGGGTTTTTGTTTGTCCTAAAGAAAGTTCAAGCACCAACATGTGAAGTAAGTAGACGTTGTAATTTATACGGTTTAGCACCGTAAATATGGGATTTGACAGAAACCTGTTGATGAAACCTGAAACAAATAAAAAAAGTAAAAAAATATTATTACTTTAATAATTAGATTCTATTTGCAGCAGTATAAGTATCTACACCCAACCTAACATTTTAATAGAAAATAATCAAAAACTCACCTCCGTATCCTGTGGCGCATAAGAAAATGATAATAGAGATCACTATCGCCCACACCAACTTCGGTACGCTGTTGATAAAAGCTGCTTCTAAACGATGTGGATCGAAAAATAGGTCCCCAATTCGTTTGTGGTATGCCAAAATCCCTGCTATTACTGCAAGACAGGCTGACCACAGCAGAATTTGCACAGTCTGCAATAATTTCGACAAAATATTTGACTACAAAACCTTTGATTATATACAGTAGGGTGGCCCAAAAAAAAACGAATGTTTTTTCCGTGTCTTTTGTGAAAATATGTTAGTTTTTCATGTTTTAAGGGCCCTCTCAAATAAGCTGCTCAAAAAAAATTTTTTAAAGGTCGCTCGAGCTTTTTAAAAATTTCCAAAATCGTCAAAAATTGATTTTTTTTTAATTCTTTTTCTCGATATTTTATCATTTTCTAGGTTGAAAAAAATCTCGATTCTGAAAATTTCAAATCAATATTTTAATTTCTAAAGGTCACTCATAATTTTTTTAATTTTCAAAGTAGTGTACCTGTTTTCGAGCGACCTCTAAAAATAAATATCAACGAACTAATAATTTTTTTATTGAATTTGATGAACAAAAGAATAGAAATAAATCACAATTAAATTTTAAAAAATTTAAAAATTATAAATATTTAATACTCATAATGCGGTAGTAAATTTTGCCTCGAGAAATTTTTTAAGTGTCTCGTGATTTATTTCTATTTTTTTGTTCATCAAATTCAATAAAAAAATATATTAGTTCGTTGATATTTATTTTTAGGTACACTACTTTTAAAGTTAAAATAATTATGAGTGACCTTTAGAAATTAAAATATAGATTTGAAATTTTCAGAATCGAGATTTTTTTTTGAAAATGATAAAATAACGAGAAAAAAATTTTTTTAAAAATTCAAGTTTTGACGATTTTAGAAATTTTTAATAATCTTGAGCGACCTCTAAAAATTTTTTTTTTGAGCTCATTATTTGAAAGGCCTCTTAAAACATGTAAACTAACATATTTTCACAAGTCACGAAAAAAAAAAATATTCGTTTTCTTTGGGCCACCCTAATATACAGGGTGTATCTTTAAGTGGGGGTCAATTTTTTACGAGCAATAGTACATGTTGCCGATAATACAAATCTGAAATTCTCTTTTTAAACAGCATTTTAATTCTTGGAAACCGGGTCACCCGGAATTGGCGTGGTAAGTTGTATCAGTACAGTATCAGCGTTGCCAGTTTTTAAAAACGACTGTTAGAGAAAGTCAACGGAAATTAAAGTCGTATTTTTCTATGTTAATGTGAACGAAGCGCCGAATATTAAAAAACTAACACGCTCCTTATTTGAGGCCACACTAGTGTGTCCAAAGGCGGGGTATGAATAATTACAAAAAAAAAAAGGTTAAAAGAAAATCAGTTTTCACGACGAAGTATGGCCCCCATTCAATGTTACACCCTGTATGAACACAGATATTGACCTTATTTATTTTGAGCGGCCTACTCCTCATTTTGAATAAAATATATCCAAGTAAGAACCCCACCAGCCATGCGGGAGCACGAACATGGGGTGCACTGTATAAATACTTCATTTGCTCATCGCTAATACTGAAAAAATAACAACATAATAATAACAATTTCGCTTCTATCTTTCACATATTTTTACGCACTTGAAAAACGCCGGACCGAAGTTCTTCTCCCAACTAATGATAAACGCGAGAGTACAGCAGACAACTATCAGGCTCCCCACCACCGAAAGAGCAAATTTCGGCCATTTCGTCAGAGGAATCAGCAGCAGGGGACTCAGAAAGTATAGCTGGGTGTCCACCGCGAGGTACCAAGTATGTCGAATACACTGAAATCGTTATTTTTAATAAAATAAATATTATTTGTTCCGAAATAAGCTCGACAGTTATCTGGCGCTTACCATTGCATTAGAATTCACAAAATTTTGAACGTATAACAGAGTCACCCACCAGTTCCGTTCGCATTCACCCTGTAGTATGTCAGCGAGGGAAGGCCAAAAGGGCGCAGACACCATGTATTCCAGAAGGGTAGCATAGAATAAAATTAGTGTAGCTAAGGCCGGAGTTAATCTGAAAATAATTATTTTTTATTCTAGTTTATTCTATTTTTTTTATTATTTCCAGGACACTCTGTAGAGAGGAAGATGTGTAAAACAGTAATATTCGAAACTACCTTAAAATTCTGTGTACATAGAACATTCCAAGCGGGGTAGTTTTCCCTTTTTCTTTATGAACAAGATAAACGTACACCAACAGCAAACCGCTTAGAACGAAAAAAGTATCTACTGCCAAATTCCCACCGCTGATTATTCCACTTGCTGGAAGCGTTTGAAACTAGAAGAACAATGAGATAATTTTCCTTAGAAACATCGAATTTGGATAACTAATCCCTTACAATAACAAACAAGAAAAGATAACTAACCTCCGTCACGTCCACTAAATTAATCAATGGCAAAAGTGCCGAATACATATATCGATGTCCCAGAACAATCCACATTATACTGATAACTCTTATCCCATTTAAGCACGCCACTGAGTCTGTAGACGCTTTGGTTGAAAGTAACTTTCGTCCGTTGGTATAAAATGAAAACGCCGTAAGTAAACAGGGTCCTTGATCTGAAATTTTAAAAATCGTATTTATTAGTCTGGCAAAATTTTAAGGATAATTATTATCAAATCTTGTCCCTTAAGACATTTTTATTTTGCGATTTAATTGAATTTGTGTTAAATAAGATTGTGATGTAAAAGTGTAACAATAACAACTTTTACTCCTTAAGAATATTGTGACATAATAATATGACGGAAACGTCTCACTATAATTCATTTGGTCTTAGGTTGGACAAAATTAAGTAGCGCCTCGTAGAAAAAAACATAAAAAAATTAAAAAAACAGCCTTTTAAAGCTTAAGAGTAACAGATAAAGGAAAAAATAATCACATTTCACCAGCACTCCATTTACATCCTCAAAATTGAGCCCCAAAATTATAATTTTGGAAAAAAATCTATCTTTTTTGCTCTCTCGTTTGAAAAAAGTGTTTTTTCAAATGATACAAAACATTATTTTATAGTTTTTGAGATGAGGAATAAGAATCCATTGTTTAAATTGAGCTAAAAAAAATTTAGAACCCTTAAATTTACAAATATTTCATTTTATGACGTTTTTAGCGCAGATTTCCGCTCTTATGCACCGATTTGCTTGAAATTTGGACAGTAGGTGGGGAATAGCTCAAGAAACAAAATACACCCTATGCTGATATATATTTTTACCCTGGGGGTAGTTTCAACCCCTTTGAAGGGGTTGAAAATAAATTTTGTCAAAATAATCGATGGAGCAACTAATTTCAAGCAAAAAATGTCCCATACAATTTTTTTGGTAAACCAATACTTTTTGAGTTATTTGCGATTGAAAACTCAATTTTCCAAATGAAAATCCATTTTTTCATAAAAAAAATATTATAAACAGAACTGAGATCATATCCGATAAAATATTGTTAAAGTAGAATAAAATACCTTTAATTTGGTTGTTTAAAGATATTTCTAGCTGCTATAGAACCGAAGTTATAAATTCGTAGGTAAGTTGTGACATTTTACTACTCGCTATAACTTCATTTCTGCAGCAGCTGGAAGCTTTTTTAAGAAGCCAAATTGTAGGCCTTTTGTACTTTCATAACCAACGTAAAATGTGGGCCTTGTTTTCTCACATAGCGATAATTATCCAATAAACAAGCTAAATATTGAAAAAAAGCTGTTATTCGGGATTAATTAAATGAAAGTCGTTATAACTTCGGTTCTATAGCAGCTAGAAATATCTTTAAAGAACAAAATTAAAGATATTTTATTTTAATTTAATAATAATTTAGTTCTGTTTATAATATTTTTTTTATGAAAAAATGAATTAACAATGAAAGATTGAGTTTTCAATCGCAAATAACTCAAAAAGTATTGGTTTCTCAAAAAAATTATATGGAACATTTTTTTCTTGAAATTAGTTGCTCTATCGATCCCCTTCAAAGGGGTAGAAACCACCCCCAGGGTAAAAATATATATCAGCATAGGGTGTATTTTGTTTCTTGGGCTATTTCCCATCTACTGTCCAAATTTCAAGCAAATCGGTGCATAAGAGCGGAAATCTGTGCTAAAAACGTCATAATATGAAATATTTTTTAGCTTAATTTAAACATAGGATTCTTGCTCCTCATCTCAAAAACTATAAAATAATGTTTTGTATTATTTGAAAAAACACTTTTTTCAAACAAGAGAGCAAAAAATGTAAATTTTTTTCCAAAATTATAATTTTGGGGCTCAATTTTGAGGATGTAAATGGGGTGCTGGTGAAATGTGATTATTTTTTCCTTAATCTGTTCCACTTAAGCTTTAAAACACTATTTTTTTTATTTTTTTATCTTTTTTCTACGAGGCGCTACTTAATTTTGTCCATACCTAAGTCCAAATGAATTATAGTGCGTCTCTGGGAGACACACTATTAAAAATTTTTTTCTCTATTTATTTGTGTAGTTTGTGAAAAAAATTGCAGATGAACAAAATACTCAAATAAATAGTAAAAAATTCATAACATGTAAGTACCCTTTTTATATTCGCCATATTCAAATAAATCACACTGTACTCAATACAGCAAAATGAAGATAAAACGTACTTTCTAGAAATAATTAGGGTACTTACGATTTTGCTCCTTGAAAAAATATATATCGTACACTGTACTGGATATTACAACAAGTCCAACTACAGCAAAAAATATTCTGTAACAAAAAAAAAGAGTAATAATATAGAGCTGTTATAATTGGCCGCTCACCAAAGACAATCATGAACATAAAATAAAGTGACCAATGATTATAAGATTTATGTTATTGCACCATTGTGAATCACGTAAACCTTTACTGTCATTCTAATTATCATTATTTATTTAATTTAACTTTCTGATTACTACGAATTAAAAAATTGCTGTGTATGTTATACTCACATCGCCACTACTGCCTTGGTGGAAAAAGGTTTCGTTTTAACGTTTGACAAACACAGGTCGTCAACAAAGTAAACATGAAGTGGAGACTGCAAAGCTTCTTCTACTAAACGAAATACTGCATCTAAAGACGAGCTATTACACACAGCCGGTACACAAAATCCGTATGACTGCCTCATTAGGAGTGGATCTTCCGCCATAGCAGCCATTATCTAAAATAAAATATCCATATACTTCACAAAAAGCCAGTTTAAAAAAGTAAATGACAAATAGTCCAATTAAATGGGCCTTCAAATCGCAATTTTGGTTAGCTTGCCTGTATTTTTGATATAAGTTAGTTGAGGTATGTAATAACAGTATTTTTTCGCTGTCAAATGTCTGAAATATGATAAATATCTACCGGTTTATCTCCAATGTTGGAGAAAAATGCTGTACAGTACTGTCCGTTTATTTGAGTTTCATTAGCTAACACGTCGACTTTTAGGCACTCATCGAAGTTTCCTAAGTGCATCATATTTCCTTCCAAGATACCCGACTGGATCTTTGCCGTTGCATCGAACACTGAAATAAACCGGTGACAGTAAATCTGCTGAAGTAACAATAAAGTATTTATTGACAAGACAACGCTAGTAATAAATCTTTATACCCACTTTTCAGAGCCCATATGTCCAACCTGTTCAAGGCACCAATAAACAGAAGCAGCTGGTGGAAGCACATATCGTCCACAGCGGCAAGCTGATCTATAACGTATTGCAGCTGACCCATCTGGTTCAATAATCCCAAAGTCTCATCCAAACTGATTATTGCAGCAGCAACGTCCGCGTAACCGTAAGTGTTGAGTGCCTCCTGCATGATGTCAGAGACCAGGATGTCTCCGAAGGTGATCGATTGATTACCAACATTGTCAATAAGGAAGTTTGTTATATCGGTGAGCAGTGGTTCTGGTATAGTTAAATTCGAGTCGAGCGTGATGGCTTGCACATTTTGCGAACATATCACCAGAACAACAACTGCGAACTTCATTCTTTGAGGAACTGTTAACATGTGACTTTAAAAAGTGGTTATTATATTCCTTATCTTTAAATTTAAATCTGTATAAATAATTAATACTACGAAAAGTGTTTATTTTGGAAGTAAAATTGTTTGATCATTATCAACACTTTCATCGAGGCAGAATAACTACTGACTTTGATAAAGTATTACGTACAAAATCTGAAGCTGAGTTTAGATTGTTCTTCTGACTATTCTCTGTATTATTACACTACATCCTCATCGTACATTATAAAGAAATTTGTAAATAATTAATAGATGTTTGTGTTTTCTTCGTGACGTGGTTCTTCTACTAATCATAATGACATTTTCAAAGCACAAACTATGACTTAACAAATACATTTTTTGTAATATCATGAATCTAAAACCTTAATTAAATATTTGTCTCAAAATATTTCTTCCAATTCGGAATTAGATTAACAAACAATTGCTTCAATTTCGGTGATAATTAAAAATGCTGTTGCATTGTGTGATTCAGAGAAATTAAATGAGGTAGTTGTATGTAGAATCATAATAAATCAAGATAAGGGTAACTGTTTCAAGGTTAAAAACTGTGGCTGAAAAGCTAAAATAAATAATAGAAATAAATATTTATTTCGTATTGTTGTACACAGGGTGTTAATGAACTTATGTCAAATATTTTTGCCACATGTCCTTTATGTCACACTGATTTGTGTCGAGTAAAATGTAATTTAAAAAACATTGCAAGGAGCCATCTCTTGAGAAGTGCTGATTTCCATAGAAAATGTTCGTTGTACCCACCATTTGCTTGCACACAAGCTTCAGCGCGACGTATCCAATTCGTTCGCACGCGTTGCAACATTGCCAGGTCATGTCGTTCAGGATATCTTGCACGCTACACTTGACAAGCTCTGTGGGCATTTTCGTTTGTTTCGCCATAAATTATGAGCATATCATAATATTCGCGATTGCTAAATAACTAAACTAAATTTTCAAAAGAAAACTTGGAAATACGGCTATTAAATGTACTCTCGAAAAACAGCACAGCAATCACTACAACAATGTGTATTATTGACTTTCGAATACAGTCCGGTGTGTCGAAAAAAAAGAAAAAATGGGTTTTTTTAAAGCTTTGAGTTAAACAAAATTTCTCAGTGTTTTCTCAGATAATCTAGAAAGATGTAGAAAATAGGATGCAGGATATATGATATAAGATACTATAAACTTAAACTCCTTCTCATAAAACAATATCATTATTAAACAAAACATTATAGGTAACATTGTTGAAGGATTATTCACTTTTCTTCGACTTGATGTCTTTATAACTGTAGACGCAAACGACGTAATTTTTTTTCTTCCTCATCTTCTTCGTCAGAGACCTATACTGTGTTATTGCCTTTTTCGCCTGTAGATTTGACATGCCTGAAATTGTTCATATTGAACCATACCACGTGTTCGTTTTTTTATAAAAATCTACTTACCTTTCTGCATCGCGATTTTACTTATATTCAAGAAAGGAGTTTCAAAGGCTAAACACCACACTGTAGCCAAGATAAACGTAAGAAATAAGTCTCCTGTAAAGTCCAATACCTGAAACGATAATTAAAAATAACATCAGTTGTTTGAGTTTAATAGAAAGGATCATGTCGGTAAATAATAACTTGAAGATTTCTAGACATGAGATTTAGATATGAGATAGGCAGTTGTGGAACTGTTTTGTTTTTTGTTTAATCGCTGAAGATAAGTAGGTACATATGTCTCGAAATATTAAGCTTTTATTCACAAAAAAACTGTTTCTAATTGTTATCGTTACACATAACATTAAATACCATAGAAACGTTGCCATCGTTTTTATCTTATTTCAAAAATTTGTGTCTTACCGAATTTAAATTAGAAAAATATCCCGCAGTCTTTGCTCGTCCTTTTAAAAACAACAACAATCCCAGGTGGACCAAAAATGAACTATACGTCAACCTCACCAATACTTGAAATATTGGTAGAGACAGGAACTTGTCTATTACACCTGAAACGATTGTCGCTTGAATCTGTTCCTCTCACAAAGCTAGGATTTTTCTTACCACCATGTCCGCTTACGCACAAAAAAACAATAAAAGCTACAGACAACGCCCACATGGGTCGAGCAGCAGCGTTGAATACTGCAGATCTGAAGGGATCATAGGGGTTTCTCGCGAATACCAGGTGTACTAGGACGATGAAGGCCATTGTGCCCAATGAAAACAACCATACGAACACGTTTACACACTGAAAGGTAAAGATCCATCAGTTTTTTACAGAAAAAATATGTTTGTAGCGACTGTCGTTACCTTTGGAATAGTAATCTGTTGATATGCTACTACGAAATACCCAAAAACTATTCCAATCAGCCATGCGGGCATTCTGACAAAAGTTGGTAGATAGATACTGTGGTAATATTCCTTATTTCCTCTGAAACAAATGCACCATAGCTAAAGGGCATGTTTTAGAAGTAAAAGAGCAAGACGAGAATGTACAAATTGTGATGACAATAAATTGTGTTCAGAGATCCTAAGAACTTGTTGACTAAAATAGGTTTTTTATTACTAGACTTCCTTTGAGGTATTTTACTTAAGCATATCAGGATACAATCTTATAAGCACTTACTCGTAATACATAGCACCGTAGTGATTTTGTATAGTTATTACGTAGGTATATACTGCGGAAACCAAACAGGCTACCAAGCAAGCTAAAACTGTCCTCTTTGGGAATTTTATCAAGTTTTTCAATATTATGGGCGATATGAAATACAGTTGACTGTCCACCGCCAAATACCATGACTGCTCTATGCACTAGAATAAAAAAAAGATTCGCAATATCATGTTTTACTAAACAAAGTTTTAGGATACATAAGTATTACCACAACTTGATAATAATCCAATCAAATTAGATTTTTGCGCCCTAAAATTTAGTTCAGTAAACAAAAACACGTAAAAATTAGGAAAAATTCCTTATAGCTGTTTTACATTGACAATTTATTCATCAATAAATTGACGAGGTTCTTCATGAATTAATTCACGAATTTATTGGTAAACAGTGTGGTTTTACACTGCTACAGACTTTGTCAAGTTTTTGACGTATGAATCAGTTCTACCAATGAATAAAAGAAGCAAATAAATTCCAAAAATGTCACCTTTCCACTCATAATTGTAGTGATACAACAGCGGTACCGTTCTGACACATATTATATAAATATTAGTTTTTGTAAGAAACAAATCAGTAAAAACAATGCAAAACTAGTACGACGCCACACAATTTTACATATTCCAATAACATAACCTCATTACTGATCTGAGGGTGGAAATCTGTTGGGTTGGTACTTCCGAACTTCACGAAGAAATTGACGAAAATTAGAACATGCTCTAATTCGTCAAGAACTTGATGAATAAATTCATGAAGTTATTTGACAGCATATTTGGTGCATTACACTTGTCCAATTTCTTGATGAAGCGACTTCATGAATTAATTGATCAATAAATTGTCAATATAAAACAGCTATTAGAATTGATTGAACTACTTTACCCTAGCTGAATGTTAGGGATTCATTTTCAAAATGGATCGAAAGTTCGCAAAAGTTTTTTTCAATGAAAACATTTTAGAAAAAAAAACGGCTAAAAATCGGATTTTTTAAAAACTTCTATATTTTTAAAACGAAAAAATATTTGTTTACAAAACTTTCAGAATATGGAGTCCTTGGCAAGTAGAATAAGTGCATTTTTGTAAAATAGCAAAATATTTTATGGTTTTTGTAAAAATTGGGCTATTTGAAAAAAAATATACATTTTTTTCAAGTTTCAATAAATAATACAATAATACAGTTACGTGACCTATCTTGGGCTTAAAATTTTCTCTAAGACTTGTACTTTCCTGTGCAAATTGTGCGCGTATTGCAAAATAATTGGAAATATGCGAAAAATCTACCGAAACTTTGCCTTTTTTGAGGGTCGAAAAATTTAGATCTTTTTCTTATCATTGAAATTTAATCGGAACGACATTATTGCCATTTGAAAGCTGACATTTTTTCGCGAATTTAAAAAACTATCCTACGACCAACAGAAGCCGCGGAATTTTTTTTTTCTTTCAAAAAATCACTACGACTTCATTTATTAATATTAGGGTCTTTTACACATATTGTAGTTGAATACTTTTACTTCGATATAAAAAATAGTCCATAATTATTGACCACCTCTTTTTGCAGTAAACTTAATTTTGTTGAGCACCATAAAATGATTGTTCCACTCCACACGTTGTTGTTCATTGTGTCAGCCTTACCTGTAACTGCATAGGAACTAAGTTTGTACCAAAAAAAAACGTAGTCCACCAGAATTTATAACAGCTTCCTGTAACTTTCTGTGAAATTAAAGACCACGCAGGACCGTCTGCCAGTTTTTTGAAAATGCTGATGTAGAACAATATTGTGGCAGCCAGTGCAGGAGATATTCTTAAAAAAACATATTCACCTTAACGCACATTTTTTGGGGAAATTTTAAAAACTTACCGGAGCAGTCTATACGTATACAACAATGTAACAGGCATGCCGGTTCTCTTTAACAAATGCTGGTTCTTTAAATAAACGTAGGACAACAGAAGACCACTTAAAACAAAAAATGTGTCGACGGAAAAGGACGTTGCCATAATCGGGGTGTTCTCGATGTTTTTTGACCACTAATGTAAAGAAAAAACACGGTTTACGTATTATGTACATCTTAATAATTATTATAAATTCTAGTCACTCTGCAATTTACGATTAGAATTACCTCAAACACGGACATAGCGTTGATATTCGGTGAAAATATATTTAATAGTATCCTGTGACCAAAGATGATCCACAACATGCTAATGACTTTGATACCGCTGAGGCACTTCAAACCGATTCCTTCCTCCGAACTTTTAGGAAATGCGAATAACTTCTTCAAGTTGCTATAGACAGAAAATGCTGTCAAAAGATGCTCCTGCTGCATACCATTAACTGTAAAACCGTTATTATGTTGTACTATCAAGAATCAAATAACAATTTACTATTTTGATTAAAAAAATTCTGAAATTGGTGCTACTTGACATGTTTCTTTAATTGACGGATACATCCTCGAAAATATCAGGTATATCTACGAATTTGCGTTCTTTATATTTAAAATTCTTGATGGTATTTGATGAGAATTTTAATTGATCTCTAATATAATTAGTTCTAGAGCTGAACTTACCTTCTACATGCTGATGGATTAATATATCGTACAATGTGCTAAGCAGCAAAACGAACCCATAAATACCAAATCCAACACTGAAATATACAAATAATTTAACAGTTGTTTTTGATAATCTCAAAGACTTTATGTCGTGTTCCTGGACTTCGCTGTTACATCTTATCCTGTAATTGGGACTTTGTCCCGTTGGGTATTGTACTGCTAAATAAATTTTAATAAGCGACGATACTTACATGACGTATTCGTCCATTGGATAGGGGTCGATGGGTTTGTCTTTAGTTCTACACAGGACATCTTCGAAGCTTAAATGAACGGGAGCTCTAAAAACGTGTTCCATGTGATTCCACAAGGACTGTAAGTTCCCGATGGTACACGACGCTGGTAAGCACAGTCCAAAGGTCACCTTCATCATCTTTATCATCTCCTTACCATGTGGTCCTAGCTCTATGCCGAGATAGTCAGATGCCTTAAAAAAACACCTTATTAGATATGTTTTGAAAAAGTGTTGACTGTTTGCTTACAACTGTCGTATCCAACAGGACAGTTGCGTCATTTGAATATCGCGAACTGGGTTGTAAGATAACAGTACAGTACTGTCCGTCGATGACTGTATCGTTTTTTTCCACGTGGATACTCAGGCACTGGTCAAAATTGCCGACCACGTACATGTTGCCCTTCAGGAAGCCACTGTTGATCTTTCCTGAGGCGTCCAACACTGAAATGGTGATTATAAAAAGGGGTTGTACTGGGTAGTTCCTAAGTTGAGTCACAATTTTCCACCAGCGTGTAGAACTACTCTGTTTAAAAAAAAATTGAGAGGTTTGATACTCACTTTCGATGACCCATAACTTTCTTCGAATTAAGTCTTTCAAGAGGACCTTTAAATCGCTGGAACAACGGGTGTTCCCTCCTGCTTTGTCAATAATGTCGTAACCAATGGCCTTGGCAATCTTAGGGATAGCGTCAAGGATATTGGGATGTATGCATGGTAGAGCACTGGCCAAAAAAAATAACGTTAATATTTTCATTATTTCGCAATGTTTTCAACTCTTCATTTTACTACTGTTTCCACTTCAGTTATCATGACTAGTTTAAGCGACTTTATCAGTAAAACAATTATAGTAAAAGCTAACGTTAAATTATCTAAATTAGCGATTGGTGAGGTCTAAGTAATTAAGTAAGCATTTCTTATTATTACAGGCATAAAAATAAATACGTAGGCAGTATAATAGGTCCGGCAACTCTGAAATGGATAGAATAAAACATTTTTAAAGAGAATTAACTACCATTTACACACGTAAAAACGGTTTCCTGTTCTCAGATAATGCTACATTCTATTCAGTATTCTTTGAATGTAGTTATAACTTTTGCAAGATAAACTGGAAATTAAACTAATCATTTTAATTCAAATACGATAAAGAAATAATACTGTATCATTGATTTTTTCCCTCTTACTTGTTTAATACATTGACTTAAAGTGATTATAATAAATTAATAGATTATTATTATTGGAGTACTTGTTTCACATAACTGAGCATAAGAATTAATTAATGGTAGAAATAAGCATGGCAATCAAAAACTAATTTAGAATTTAACGTAATACAAACAAATCTGTCATCAAAAATCCATTGATATAATTATTACTAAATTATTGACGTAATAATATAATGTAATTCCTTTAAGTAAATAATCGATTAATGTCCTTTTTTCTGTTTAATCCATATTGTCGTTTGGACAAATTATGATAGAAATTCTAAAACACGGTCAAGGCATTATTTATTGAATTCTATACAGCACAATGGGAATTAAAAGTGCTCTTTCATCGGTGTGGAATAAAATGGACTACCTGGACAATTTTAAACTTTTCGACAACGTCTACGGCATTCTAGACACTTCGTATATGATATATATCGCGTTCGGGATGACCCCGTATCTAAGAATCAAGTCACCAGAGGGTAATTTTATCTATTATAACATGAGTTGGCAAAAGTACGGAATATCTGCCTGTAAGTTTAATAATCCTTTAGATTTCCCGTTTGTAATTTTAGTTTTATTTTTATGAACGTATAAATATGGCGATATATTTCTATTTTTTGTTTCAGGGTACTCCTTCCTCCTGCTGCTAGCGATAGCCATGACGGTAATAGACGAACTGGAGAGTCATTTTAACAGCATAGTCAACATTTACCTGATCGCTCAAATGATATTCAGCATTTTCACCTTGAATATATTCCCCGCTAGGGCAAACATACTTTTAAAAGCGTACGGGAATTGCCACAAAGCCGAAAAAACTTTAAAGCGATTAGGTTTTAAACTCGATTATACGTTCATACATAAAATAACGCTCTACGGTTCACTTCTAATGATATTTTTCGCCAATATGAACCTAACACTATACATATTGTGGGAGAAAACCATATTCGACTTTCTTAAGTTCTGTTTCACGTACAGCTTCCCTTGCGCGGTATCAGTCATTCCCGTCTACCACTTCATATATCTGGGAATTTTGGTCCTACAAAGACTCAGATTAGTAAACAGCTATTTGTCAGAGGATTTCTCGTCGCTCACCAGAAAGCAAGTCGAGTTTAATCTGTGGGCCATAGCGAAAGTTCACTCGGAACTATGCAACGCAGTCAACAATGTTTTATACGCGTCAGCCTTCAGTATGGTCACTTTTTATTTTTTCACGTACCTACAATTTTCAGCTCTGTTGTTGGGAGCGATGAATATAGCTCACTTGACGTTTGATGTTGAAACATATATTTGGAATATGATATATATCGCCACAACGGTTGGTATCCTAGTTTTGGCCACAGTACTGAAGTACGAGGTTTGTAGCGTCGTTTCTAAGATTGGTACTGATTTGAACAATTTACTTCTAATATTTGTTTTTGCAGGCAACAAAAACCTCGTATACGCTCTGTGAACAAACGTCGACCTTCTTTGATGATTGTATAGGAACTAGGGTAAGATATAGACGAAAAATTAACCAATCATTCGTTTTTTTAATTATCTTCGCAGAGAAACACTCTTCTAATGCAACTGTTGCACCAAAAAGTTGATTTGAGGATCTTCGGACATTTTGAGGTGCATTTAAGCAGAGTTTTATCAGTAAGATGTGTTTTGATACTATAAATCAAAATATTTATGACAAATCTTTCGCAGGATCTGCAGGCTTTGGTGAATTTGTTGATGTTTGCCACACAATTTAGAAACTAAAGTAATGCAGCTAGAATTACATTAATTCTATACATATATTTGTAGTGCTTATTTTGATGTTTAATTAAATTCTAAGCATTTTTTAAATTTCCAAATAAAACAGTAATTCTACATACCTGCCTAGTTTGCTTTTTCGTCTCTGAAGAGTACTGATGAAATAGAGTCGACCATTAGATTACCATAAATACTGCTGCGTGTATAAAGTATTGCATATGCTCTAGATAAATTAAAATATAAAAAGTATTCTATTTTCTACTAAACGACTTCAAAAGAGAATAGTAATTAATTAATAAAACCTGGAATTGAATTGCATACAAAAGAGAAATCATGATTCATCTGACTTATTCCTTTGCCGTCATCAAGTTGAGATAAATGACGGAGTGTTCCACATTTCAACGAACTTCTGTTTTCAAGGGAAATTAAGAACTAGTTTATAATCAACTTCGACAAGCGAGCACACAAAATGTGTGGTTATGCCAGGAAAATGTTATTTATTAATTAAGACCAATCCCATATGCCCGTTTATTTTAAGTTTTATTTTTAGTTACGCTACAGTGCGTGTAGTTAACTATTCAGGTAAGTAGTTATGTTTTTTGGAATCCAATCTTGAGTTTTACTTATGAGCATCTTAACTAGATACTAAATTTTACAGTTCTGATAATTCATATTTATTGTATTTACTTGAAATTATCAAGTTGAGAGATAAGGATATGATTATGATTATTGTGACAAAATAAAATTGCAATATTTTAAATTACGTTAAAATGTCTCAAAGTACTATAATAAGGTAGAATAATTTTTTTGAAATAATTGAATGTTATTCTCTTAATGATTTTTTTTGTTTTAGTATGGACAATGATGAAGAAAATGGAGAAATCAACGAGCTTTCTCTCACAAGACCAAGTCTGGGGTCTGATGGTGACTATGACGATGAATTGGGAGTACCGGAAACCATTAAACTGGTCGATATGGGTGATGGGCCCGTTGCTATTGTAAACTCGGATGAGGAGTTGGAAAGTAATAATTATTAAATATTTGCATGTTAATCGAAACAAGCTGAAATGACGGTATCGTTAATTTTTTTTAACTATAAAACTTTTAATTTAAATGATGATTTTGACAGCTGAAAAATAAAATGTCAATGCCATTAACGAAATTCCTGTCAAATTCCTAAATTTTAAGTATCTTTCCAACACCATCAATAACAATGGAAGCAATAGGGTAAACAATTATGAAATTCTTTTTACAGATTCTCTTTATTCTTCGTGCAAAGTTACTAATTTAATGAACTATTGTGTTATGTAATGTAATTACATACATAGCTGCTACAGGTAGTTGTAATTTTAGGATGACAAACATATTTTCTTATAAAATTGTAAATTAAAGAGTTTTATAAGAATTAATTTTTAAAGATTAAAATATTTAAAAGTATGGACCGATCAAGATTTTCTTATTTATAAGAGGATTTTAAAAACCAAAGCTAACAAATTGGTAATAAATCTAATCAGTGAGGATATCTTATTTAATTTCTGTCTTAGAGCAGATTAGTTCGTGACGAGGTAAAAAAATTTTAGTATTAACTTCTTACGTCCTATATTTTCTTGGATTTTACCACTATATCTCTCCTGATTGCTCTTGAAATTCTCTAAATTCCTTCAAATTTCCCCAATCACCAATGATCGTGCAATATTATGCTAGTTTTCTTTTAGATGAACAAATCGATGGACTTCCTTATAACTGCATTCACAACTACAAGAAATTTAAGTCTTACCACCGAAATGTTTTTATACCAGGCATCGATATTAATGCGACGATTACGGATTATGAAAGGAACTTGACCACTCACATGCTTAATCCAAATTTGTAAGTCTATTTAATTTCAATCTACATAATGACAACACACTGAATTAATTGTTACATATTTGTTTCATGTCTTTTTTTAAAAATACTGTCACTACTAGAAATAGGTATGTTATTATTGTTTAAAAACTAAATAGTAAAAATAGACCATTCATAATTTTGTTGGCATTGAAATATCTACACAAAAATAACTGCTCTATACAACAACGTATAGAGTATTAAATTACGAGTTCAACGATGTATCACACTTGGGACAACCAATTTTATTAATAGTCAAAAAACGTCAATTTCATAATTTATTTAATTTTATCATGATTGCCATGAAAAACAAGTGAACGTTTTTAACGTCCAGCATATGTTTTTCATGGCAACTATGATTAAATTGGGGATTAAATTAAGTAAATTATGAGATCCTTAATAAAATTGATTCATTCAAGTGTGATATATCGTTGAACTCGTATTTTTATGCTCCAACCAATGGTTCTAAAATCCAACGGGATATCCATAAGAAAATAAATAATGTGGTTATAAAAATATGGAGATGTAGTAGTTCTGGACAATTTTATCAGTTTTTTTACGGTATTTTAGGAATGATTCAATTTATGTTCAATTCTTTTCAAAATCTCCATCTAGTAACATCTTTTTTAGGTACTCGATATCTTTAACGCATGGAAATTATACATGGGAGATCAAAAAAAGATATAAAGAGATACAAAACTTGCACCAACAATTGGTACTGTTTAGAACCAGTTTAAATATACCTTTCCCCAGTAAAACCCACAAAAATAAAAGGAAAAGTTTCAAAGAAAATGCCCCGGTTTCCCCTAAAGGAAAACGAAAAAGTGCCTTGCCAAGGTAAGAAACTTTTTTCCCCGTAAAATAACCGAGTTACGTTTTTTAAATTATGTTGCAGATTTCCGAAGAAACCAGAAATTCTAGTGAGTTTCGATCGTTTAGGAAATAGAATGAAGCAGATAGAAAGCTATCTCAACAACTTGCTCTCTATTACGATTTATCGGAATCATCCCGCCACTGTAAGTATCTCGAAAAAAATTAAACAAAATTATGAATTTAGCCGCTTATTACAGAATAACATTAGCTCTGTGGTAATCGTTGAAATACATATTCTGACAACTTTTTAGATAGAGTTTTTACAAGTGTCTCATTTATCGTTTATTAACGGATTAGGAATTAAGGGAAAAGAAGGCCTGGTGAAGAAGAAAACTGGAAGTACCTATGCCGGTTGTAACTGTTTTGGGTTTTACAACTGTTTCTGTTGCGTTAGGTAATGTTCTGACACCTTTCCTCTCGCTCTATTACTACCTACTACGTTTTACGTTCCATATCGTTTCAGGTGCCAACACATCTGCGGCATCATCTGCTCCCGTTGGGTAAAACGGTGGTTTTTCATAAAAGACACCTTTTTCGGCTACATAAACCCCGATACAGGCCGGGTGAATCGCGTGGTACTCTTCGACCAAGGCTTCGAGGTTGCCTCCGGGAGTTACGCCCTCGGGCTCCACACCGGGTTTCAAATTCAAACCCTAAGTCGTCAACTTACGATCAATTGCTGGACGAGGAGGAGGAGTAAAGAGTGGATCGAGGCCTTGAAAGAAGTCGCGGCCACATCTGGTGAGTAATAAACGAAACGCACAAAAAAAACATGTTTTAATCGACCGATCTACAGCTCGAGAGTTCATTAGTCCGAATCCGCACCATTCGTTCGCTCCCATCAGGACTAATATCACCGCGTCTTGGTTTGTCGACGGCGCCACCTACATGTCGGCTGTGGCAGACGCTATCGAGAGTGCTAAGGAGGAAGTGTTCATTACGGACTGGTGGCTGAGCCCCGAGATTTACCTGAAAAGGCCCGCCATCGTGGCCGACTATTGGCAGCTCGATAAATTATTGGAGAGGAAAGCGGTAAGTCCCGGAACTTTCTTGAAATGTCTCGCTAGTCAAAAATAGATTTTTTCCTTTGTAAAAATTATGAATTTATGCACAAGAATACTAAAAATGTTTTTAAAATGTTAAAGTTTTAGGGATGTCAAACTTTAAACTTGGTAATTTGACAGTTGACAGAGCTAAATGACAGAAATAAAGTAGGCAATGCTATGCTCAATTGTTTTAATAACTTATTTTTTATTGGTAGTAATTTGACAGTTGACAGAGCTAAATGACAGAAGTAAAGTAGACAATGCTACACTCAATTGTTTTAATAACTTATTTTTTATTGGTTGTTGCCTTGTTTGTATATTTACAGTTAGACAATCTGTCAAACTTAGGAAAGAGACTACTAGCGACACTCCTCAAACCTCCGACACCCTTATTTATAGTATAACGAGTGACGGGCATGTTTTGCGGGATCTAATTGCAAATATTTAACAAAAATCACTGCAATCAAGGCTACTGACTTAAGTTTTTCAACTGTGAATAGTCTTTAAAAAAATGTTACATTTTGTTTCATGTCTTTTTTTAAAAATACTGTCACGACTAGAAGTAGGTATGTTTAAAAACCAAATAGTAAAAACAGATCATTCATAATTTTGTTGGCATTGAAATATCTACACATAAATAACTGCTCTACACAACAACGTATAGAGTGTAAAATTATGAATTCAACGATGTATCACACTTGGGACCACCAATTTTATTAATAGTCAAAAAACTTTAATTTCATAACTCATTTAATTTTATCATGGTTGCCATGATAAACAAATGAACGTTTTTAACGTCCGGCATATGTTTTTCATGGCAACTATGATTAAATTGGGGATTAAATTAAATAAATTATGACATCGACGTTTTTGACTTAATAAAATCGATTGATTCAAGTGTGACATATCGTTGAACTCGTATTTTTATGCTCCATCCAATGGTTCTAAAATCTAACATGATATCCATAAGAAAATAAATAATGTGATTATAAAAAGATGGAGATGTAGTAGTTCTGGACAATTTTATCAGTTTTTTCATGGTATTTTAGGAATGATTCAATTTATGTTCAATTCTTTTCAAAATCTCCATCCAGTACCTTCGAAGAAATAAACAGAAAGTATAAATCCATATTTATTTCCTTCGTAGAAACAAGGAGTGAAAATTTACATCCTACTGTACAAAGAAGTAGAAATGGCACTGGGTTTAAACAGCTACTATAGCAAACAGAAGTTGATAACGGCATCGGAAAACATTAAAGTACTGAGGCATCCCGATCACGCGCGGGCTGGTATACTGTTGTGGGCCCACCATGAAAAAACGGTGGTCATAGATCAGACGTTTGCTTTCCTCGGCGGAATCGACTTGTGTTACGGCAGGTGGGACGACGATAAGCACAGGTACGTTTTGCATGTTTTCGTCGAGTTACAATCTATTAAATAAAAGCAATCAATCAAAATTAAAATATTATAATAACGGTGCCAAAATATTTCTTAACCTGATAAAATATTTAAAAAAAAATTGTAATGTGTCATTCATTTCGCATATTGTTCCAATTGTATCTTACAAATGCCCATTTCTATCTTTGCTTATCTTGTAAAAAAAAGGGAAGAAGACTGAGCTTACGTGGTTTGACTTCCCGTTATGTCTCGAGCGTGTCAGTGCTTGTCATAAGCGTACAAATGGCAAAAATCTGATAACAAATACATATAAACGAAACTTACAGACATATTTCCTTGCAGGTTAACTGATCTGGGTAGCATAACCCCGACGTTAGACGTGTCCACGTTGAAAAAAAAGTCTTCCAGCGTCCCAGGCGGCGATGTGATATACCCGATCCCCGTTCCGTATTACAAACAAACCCCCCTACCCGAAGTACAAGAACCGGATACGCCCACGCCTGAAGAGTCCTGTACGTTACCTCAGCTAGAACCCGGCGATGACCTCCTCATGCCTTGCAAGGCGCCCGACAAGGCGAAATTGAACACGCCCGACCCCGAACGGAAAAATTTGATGAACGACATCAAAGACACGATTAAAAATAAGGGCAAGGAACTGATACACTTGGTGTACAACCCGCACGAGAGCGAGGAGGGTACCGACCAGCCGGACACACCAGACGGGCCGGAAGTGTGTCAGAAAGATCTGCAAACGCCGGAACAAATCATCGAAAGTCTCGACGGTTCGGCTAAATTTTGGATCGGGAAGGACTACGTAAATTTCATAGTGAAGGATTTCACCAATCTGGACTCGCCGTTCGATGATTTTATAGATAGGGTCACGACGCCTAGGATGCCTTGGCACGATATGGGGGTTTGCGTGCAGGGGCCGGCGGCGAGGGACGTCTCGAGGCATTTTATTCAACGGTGGAACGCCACGAAGCTCGAGAAAGCCAAGAAGAACGACCTATACCCCTATTTGATGCCGAAGAGTTACGATAGATACGATACGTTGCCCGTTTACTTCCCGAATATGACGCACAAGGTGACGTGTCAGGTGAGTTTTTGGTTTTTCCTTTCGGTTTGTGTGGAATTATCTCGGTGGGCTTGCGTATGAAAATTTAGCTTTTAAAAAACACAGATAAATTTTTTTTGGCACTATTTTGACTATTTTTGATGGTAGTAAGTTTTGAATCGTTACAACCGTTGTACCAGCTGTATTCCAGTTCCAAAATAGTATACTGCAAGTCATATTTTTGATAAAATAATTTTTTGTATTTTCTGCATAGAAATTGTAATGTGCCGTTCATTTCGCATAGTGTTCCAATACTGTCAGCTTGCCTGCACACACTTGAAATATTCAATTGTTATTATTACCAGCCCTTATAGTCCAACCAAATTACACTTGAAGAAAAAAAAAATTGTTACCTAGACTTTTATAAATGGAAATGGTAAAAGGGCTTATAATAAACCTAAAAAAAAAGATGTGTGAGCAGGGGTGGCGGAGGGTTGATTTAGGGAGCTGAAAAGTTATGAAAATTTGATTTGTATAATTGGGATTTCTGGCGAAAGTTGACGATACAAAAGTTGTAGATATGCAAAAATCTACAACTCCTGTAGAGGTCACTTTTTACGATAACCTCAAAATTTCCGAGAAAAAAATGCGAAAAACAGTTATTTTTCGTTTTTTATTTCTCATTTCCACAAAAATAATTTAATTTTAACGAAACTTGGTGAAAGTATACCTTTCTGTGTCTTAAATAACCACAATTTTTTTTAGATAAAAAAATCAAGAAGTTTCTGAGATTTTCATTTTTTTCGTCCTAAAACACTTTCTTTTCAAAGAAAAATTCTGTAATCACAGTTCAAAAACATGCTCAAAATTGCAAAAAAATAAAAAAAAAGGACGCAACAGTGAATTTTTCAGTAATTTTTGATAATTTGTTTAAATTAAAAACCTAGCTAAAAACTTTTTAATTGATTTCAATAGTAATATCCTCTAATTCAGAATTAAAAATGACTCGATTTTGTCATAAAAATAGCAGCGACGTATTTAAAAAAATTAACCCGATAATGGCCCCTCGAAGACGAAACATCGGATTGCAAAAATGTTGACGCCATTATATAGAACGAAAAAAGTGGCATTGTAGATATGCAATTTATTTTAAAATTTATTTTCAAATAAAGCCAGAAAAAAATTAGATAATTTTGAAAAATTTCAGGTTTTCTGGATATCTCCGGAACTACCCGGAATTTTAAAACTTTCTGAACCGTATATTGTTAGGTATAAAAAAACACAACTTTTTTCTAATCTGAGCCACCCCGTATCTCTTACCGTTTCCTAGATCCTAATGCAATCCCATCCTTATCTTGGACACACTGTATATCTATGAATTCATCAAAATTTAAAAAAATAATCGATCCTATGAAAAAAAATTATTATTTATTTTATTTGTTCACTATTCGACTTATGTTTATAGCAATACTGTACAAAAATAAAGTTTTGGGTCAAGCAATGAGACAGTTTTTTTTGTATTTTTTCCGTACAATTGAAGGGTGTAGTTTTTGATTTTTCTTTAAATTTAAACAAATTATCAACAATTACTGAAAAATTCATTGTTGCAAGTAATTTTTTTTGCATTTTTGAGCATGTTTTTGAACTGTCATTACAGATTTTTGTATTTCACCAAAAAGTATATGTCAAAACGAAAAAAATGATTACCGGCAGAATTCTGTACGATGATTTTTCCAAGTAGAATTTTTCTTTGAAAAAAAAGTGTTTCAGGTCGAAAAAAAATTAATATCTCCGAAATTTCTTGATATTTTCATCTATAAAAATTTGTGGTTATTTAAGACAGAGAAAGGTATACTTTCACCAAGTTTTGTTAAAATTAAATTATTTTTGCGGAAACGAGAAATAAAAAACGAAAAATCAGAAAAAACCTGTTTTTCGCATTTTTCTCAGAAATTTTGAGGTTATGTTAAAAAGTGACCTCTACAAAAGTTGTAGATTTTTACATGATCTACAACTTTTGTATTGGATACTTTTTTGTTTGACGTCAACTTTCGCCAGAAATCCCAATGATACAATTTTTCATAGCTTTTCAACCCCCGAAATCAACCCTCCGCCGCCCTTGCTCACGCATTTATTTTTTTTTTTCGTTTATTATAAGCCCCTTTACCATTTCCACTCATAAAAGTCCAGGTAACAATTTTCTTTTTTTTTTCTCTCTAAGTAAAAAGTATTTTGTTTTCTAAATGTTTAAAAAATATATATGGATTTTTAATAACAAAAAAGTTACTAAACGCAAAATTGACTAAAATAATGGTTGTGACATCTAAAGTTACTAAAAACTTGGTACATGGAAACTTCTTTTTATTTCTAAATTTTTATTTTGACACGCATGCCCATTTACGCGAAATTACCATCGTTTCGGAATAATTAACTAATTTTATTCATTTCGCACATTTTTTTTGTGAAACTGGGAGATGCATTACATGTTCTGTCTTGTCTGTCCCATTCAGGTCCTTCGCAGTGTTAGTACATGGTCTTGTGGTTTTTTAGAGCCGGACACGGTAGAGCAGAGCATCCATGAGGCCTACATCGACACCATCACCAAGGCGCAGCACTACATCTACATAGAAAACCAGTTTTTCATAACGCTGCCCTTCAGGAACCCCAACGTCAGGAACCAGATCGCCGACGCCCTGTACAAGCGAATAGTGAGGGCGCACAAGTGAGTCCCGTCAGCTGTACTAAACTTTCATTTATTCTAACGCGATTTTAAAATTGCAGGTCCGGAGAGGTGTTCAGGGTGTTCGTGGTGTTGCCGCTCCTGCCCGGCTTCGAGGGGGAAGTCGGCGGGGCCTCTGGGACGTCCCTGCACGCCATAACTCACTGGAACTACTCGTCGATCTCACAGTAAGCGTTGAATCGGATCTGATCGAATTTTTTTCAAATGTTAATGTTCGGATTTCAGGGGCCAGGATGCTATCCTAAACAGGCTGAAAGGTGCCGGGATCGAGGACCCGTCCGAATACATAACGTTCTACGGTCTAAGGAACCACTCGACGTTAAACTCGGAACCGATAACCGAGCTCATATACGTCCATTCCAAGCTTATGATCGTCGACGACAAGATAGTCGTCTGCGGCTCCGCCAACATTAACGACAGGTCCCTCATAGGGAAACGGGACTCGGAAATCGCCGTCATCATAGAAGTAAACCACCGTTTTTTTTTAAAGCTCGACGCATCGCTAATCAAAAATTTTCCAGGACGAAGCCTTCGAAGATGGCATCATGAACGGCAAGTCCTTCCCGTGCGGGGAGTTCGCTGGTAGCCTGAGGAAGCATTTGTTCAAGGAGCACCTGGGTACCCTGGGGCAGGAAAACGAGGTGTTCGACCTGGACGTTACCGATCCGACGTCCGATTACTTCTATCGGGAGGTTTGGTACAAAACGGCAAGTCTCAACACGGAGTTTTACGAGAAGGTGTTCCACTGCTTGCCGACGGATTCGGTGCAGACCTTCGGCGACTTGAAGAAGAACCACGAGGAGAAGCCCCTGTGGGTAAACGAGTACTCGAGGGCGCAGAAAATGTTGGACAGCATCCAGGCAAGTGAAAAAAAAGTATATTCAAAAATGTGTTCTCACACCGTACCGTCGCTAAACGCTGAAATAAATAATTTTATGAGGTTTTAACGGTTATACACACTACGCAAGACGTTTCAGTAAATTCCAGTTTAAATATTACAGTAAAACTAAACTAAACGCTTCACTATACTGATTCTGTTTCGATTCCAGTAAAAACATGCTAGAAAGTCGCTTAAAACGAATAAAATAAAAACTAAAATAACGGTAACGATGGTCAAGGTCGTTGATACAATCACGAACTAAACACAGTGCTTTAAAATAATAGTAAGTTAATTCGTCACCGTCATTTCGTCACAATTCAGTGTTTTTGTGAAACATTTTAAGTAATTTGTTATTTTATTATTTGTAAATAATTTGAAAATAAATATTTATCAAAGTAGGTCTTAAATTAAACATTGCACTAACGCTAAAAAAAAAAATAATCTATAAGTATAATAAAAAATTATTGTAAAATGTGAAAATATTTCCTTTTTGAGACACACATTCAAATAATTTGTTTAATAATTCTCAGAATATTAAAAAATTTTGTAAAATACGTATTTCTTGAATTTAAAAACAAATAAATTTGGTTTTTTAATTTATTTTAGATATTAAACTAATTCAAATAAATTCAAAAAATTTTCTCAATGTCAACTCGTTCAAACACATAATTAATTTAACTAGATGGCCCTGGTCGTTGATATAGAGATTCACGAACTAAACACAGTGCTTTAAAAATAATAGTAAGTTAATTTGTCGCCATTTAATCAGTGTTTTTGTGACATTTTAAATAATTCCTTGTTATTTTATCATTCCTTCCATGTTTTTTATGCTCTGTGTCCGACGCCACTAACTTAAATACTTTTTTCTTTATTTTTGCACTCTTGATAATCGATATTATCGAAAATGCTGCCGACTTTTTTTAACAGACGCCAAATAATTTGGAAATAAATATTTTTCAATGTAGGTCTTAAATTAAACAATGCACTAACACAAAAAAATAAAGCAGTCCGTAAGTACAGTCGAAAATTATTGTAAAATGTGAAAAGATTTGTTACTTTTTGAGACACACATTCAAATAATTTGTTTAATAATTATCAGAATATTAGAAAATTTTATAAAATACATATCTTGGATTTTAAAAAAAATTTATTTGGGTTTTTATTTAATTTTAGAAATATTAAAATAATTCAAATAAATTCAAAAATTTTTCTCAAAATCAGCTTATCTACACACGTAATAATTAATTAAACTAGATGGCTGTGATCGTTGATATAGAGATTCACGAACTAAACACAGTGCTTTAAAAATAATAGTAAGTTTATTTGTCGCCGTTTACTCAAGTGTTTTTGTGAAAATTAGAACTAATTTCTCGTTATTTTATTATTCGTACAAGTTTTTTATGGTTTCTGCACGACTATTGACTAACTAAGAATTAATTTTCGCACTCTTGATAATCGATATTATCGAAAATGGTAGTGACTTTTTTAACAGCCACCAAATAAATAGTTTTCAAAGTAGATATTGAATTAAACAATGCCTATACGCACAAAAGAAATAAAGCAAACCGTAAGTATAATCGAAAATGATTGTAAAATATGAAGTCACTTTTTGAGGCACATACATTTAAATAATTTGTTAATAATTATCAAAATATTAAAAAAGTTTGTAAACTACATATCTCTTGGATTTTTAGAAAAATAAATCTGGTTTTACTTTATTTTAGAGTCGATATTAAACTAATTCAAATAAATTCAAAAATTTTTCTCAAAATCAGAGTTTCACGAACTAAACACAGTGCTTTAAAATAATAGTAAGTTTATTCGTCGCCGTTTAATCAGTGTTTTTGTGAAATATTTTAAATAATTTCTCATACATATTTTTATGCTGTTTGCCGGACTCTATTAACTTAAACATTTTTTTTAATTTCGCACTTGATAATTGATATTATTGAAAATGCTTCTAACTTTTTTTTTAACAGACACCAAATACGATCGATATAAATATTTATCAAAGTAAGTCTTAAATTAAACAATGCACTAACACTCAAAAAAAATAAAGCAGTCTGTAAGTACAATCGCAAATTATTATAAAATGTTAAAATATTTCCGGTAGGTACTTTTTGAGACACACACATTCAAATAATTTGTATAATAATTATTATCAAAATATCGAGGAAAGTTTATAAAATACATTCCTCCTGGTTTAGAATTAAGCTAATTCAAATAAATTCAAAAATTTTCCCCAAAATCAGCTTAATCGAACGATAATTAATAATTTTCTAAAATTAAAATTAAAAGTGATATATTTTAAATTTCAACTTGTTTTTAGGGTCATCTGGTCCTCTTCCCGCTGAATTTCTTGTGCAAAGAAAACCTGACGCCGGCAGCGAATTCCGTCGAGGGTTTGATGCCCACTGCTTTGTGGACGTAAACGTGCCTTCAAGTAAATATAATGCATACAATAATTTGTACGTTTCACGCAACTAAGCACTTCGCGCCAGTAGCAATTATGAATTTTATAAGAAAAAATCGACAATCATGAAAAGTCACTTAAAATTTATTTATTGTTAAAAAAATGTATCGAAAACCTTTAAAAAAAAATACTCTGCAGCTGTGAACTTATTAGGAAATACGCAAGGAATTAATTTTTGAAAAATATATAAACTTTGCCTTAAGAAAATTAAGTGCAATAATTTTTTAAATGTGTAGTTTTATCGTACGTATATTTTATATAATGTCTTTTAAATTTTTTTAAAATCGGCGGTCTTTGTATATGCTGATATTAATTACCCTAGTTTATGTACTTATGGTTACGCAACCGGTTACACTTAGGAATAAGAATACTAGATGGCGACACTCCCAAAAATTCCCTATCACACTCATACACGGTGGTGCAACAAAAGTACCTTCACGATTTTAAATTAAAAAAAGCATATGAAAAGTTAAGTAAATTTCAAACTCAGAATATTAAGTGCGTTCCTTGAAGTTTTTTTTCAATATTTATGAAAAATTATGACAAATACGAGCAAATCTCTCGCCTATTATTCACTCTAATTTGTTCCAAGCATTGCGGCTTGTTCGCATAAACCGTTCCTTTCAGCCAAATCAAACTCGAAGAAAATAATCTGCGGCAGTGAGATCTGGAGATCTTGGGGGCCATCTCAATTCCCCGTTTCTGGAAATGTATCCCCAAAAGAGCAATTGTGGCTCTGGTAGTATGGGCAGCGGCATCCTCTTGTTACCAGTAGCGTTAATCTTCTTGTCGTGGTAGCAGCATTTCCCTGTATCGATCTCCAATTACCGATAGTGTTTGATCAAAATTGGGTGCGATTATTCTTTGGGCTGAATTATCGCCATTTGATCCCTAGCTGCAAAGAACGTCTTCATGAACACTTTCCCGATCACGTTGAATATTTTCAACGGATCTTGCCGTTCGCGGTCTTCCCCCCCTTCGTCGTGTCCTACTGATCGTGTCTCTTCAAATTTGGCCGCAAGTTGCAATGTCGTACGGTTAGAAGGAGCATAACTGACATTAAAATATCGTCGAGAGTAGGAGTAGTGCTTCTTCCGTTTTCCAAATAAAAAGTTACGATTTTTGTTTTTTCTGCAGGCGTTTATCGCTGCACATCGAAACTCCTAAGTATTTATTTTAATCAAAAAAAAAAGAAACCCATTCCAGAAAGAATTATTGAAATTAAAAATCATAATGGTGCTTTTGACAGTGGCGCCATCTAGTATTCTTATTCCTAAGTTTGACAGGTAGTCTAACTGTAGATATGCAAAGAAGGCTATGGCTTGATAACCTCAAAATATGCTTGTGCCTCTAAATGAATGGATATTAATAATGTTATTTAATTTTCTAATTCGTGGTCTGTATTAACAATTTTTATGCATCAAATGTAAGGTCAGTGCGCCGTTTTTCGACCGGTAGATTTTTTTTTACTTAATTTTAATTTTTGACCAAAAATTTGTATTTTCTGATGTAAAAATAAGGTTTCCGAAGAGAAAAACAATTGAAACTCATTTTTTACCTGTTTTCCACTAACCGTTGCTCGATATCAACCATAAATATTCCCATGACAACAAAGTATAAAAATCTTTTTGCGGAATTTTTTCTATGACATTTTTCTTTATTTTTTGTGACCATTAAGGTGGCGGTTACTTATTTCTGCTCGAGTTTTACAAAATTTGGCGAAATCTGATACTGGTTGATAAGCGACACAGTGACCCTACGCCTAAATATTTGTATTTTTTATTATTTTACACATCCGTTCCTATTTTAACGTTAAATAACATTTTTACGCCACCTAAGTACATTTTAACTTTAGACGTTAAATATTTTTAACGAAATATTACCGTTCCACCATACATCCCTTCCAGTTCCACGATTACATTGCATTTAAACCTTTTTTTTATAGATATACACCATGTATTTATTTTTTTATAACACAACTCTATATTTGCAATACAAACTTCCATGTACATATATTTAGCTTTACCAGTATTAGTTGTTACTTAAACAGAGATATTTTATTAATAAACGATCTCCACATCACAATTTTCGTTATTAATTATTAATGTGCCGCTCTACAGTAACGGTGGTTCGGATTGTCGCGGTTGTGTCTAGGAGTGGGGGGAGAAACGTAAGAGTAGTGGCAGTGCGCGTGCGTCGGTACGAATCTAGCATGCCGACGTGCTGCTTCGAACAAAATTGCCAGGTCCGTTATCAATACGAAGCGGCAATTTTAAATGTTCAACGAAATAAATTCGATTTAAAGCAACTAATATTTATTGTTTGTCGCTTGCGCCAATCAAATTTGTTCGAGTCGCACCTATTTTGTTGATAAATATTTATGGTGTTATTGATGGGTACGACAATCACCAGGTGTTACAAAACAATTATTTAATTAAACAAATAAAAAGTATGTCAATTAGATACGCGTACACATCATTAAATATGCATTATTTCCTTATTTAATTGTATACTAACAATAATTCAACTGTATTCAACGCTGAGGGCGTCAGCTGCCTAAGAGGTGGCCTAATTACCCTTGATCGTACCAATTAGTTCAATGGTCCAACTACAGGGAGATCTAGAATGATTGAACGTAGTATTTTTTTTCGCTACAGTTGGTAACACCGTTACTGATGCATTGCTGCCATTATCTAGAACACAAATCTAGTGTGCGTAGTATGCGTGGTCCTTAAAATGGCCGATTTTACTAAAGTCACACTGGCAACACTGATTTCAGCTCTAAAAAAATATCAAGCCACCCCTTCTAGTATTTGTGACGGTATTTTGAGTAGTATGGAAATTGGCTTAATAAATTTAAACCATGGATTTCTCGAGGGAGGGTTTTGATCCAGCTCAGCACAGCATCTCTTCTAACTGGACCTAGATAGCGTTAATTTATCTTATCTGTATGTTATTTTTATCCAAGCGGGTAAATACAGTGCCATGACAATACTTTTTATGCAATGTTAAGTTCAAGGTCAAATAACAAGACGTAACGAGGTTTTAGTCCAGTCAAAATAAAAGGAATAAGGGATCACTTTTTTAAGATACCCAGTTAACATACAATCAGTTAACAGTTAACTTTTAAGATAATGAATTATGTAAAAGGAGGTATTAAGTTGTTTTTGTAATAAAAAACATCTAAATTCCTTACGAGTGCTTGATTATTTTTTTATTAAGTGCCTGTAACTACTCAAGTTCAATGATAATTATGAATTTTCCTTATTTCTATCAAAACTGATTATTTCTAGCACAGTAGCACAAAACAGTACGGTCAAGGTAAAAGTACATGGTAGGTATCTTATTTTTAGCCACTTTTTTTTTGGGAAACCTAATTAATCAAATAAAAAATTATCCTTTCCTGGTTATCTCTGCAAGAAGTTGAAGTTTCTATCGTGGTGTGAACTAAGCGCATGTGGTGACGTCACTTGAGAAAAAGATAACCCTACCAAATACGATCATTAGTGTAATACATAGATGGTCATATATTCCGCCATCAATGACTTTAATGGCCCATTTATTGCTGGGACATTCTTCAAATTTCAAACTTGACAAAATGGTTAAGATTATAATTACGTTTAGACTGTACACACTTAAACTGACTAGAGAAATAACTCCTTAAATATTATTCAAACCTTTATTACTGGAGTGAGCATTTTTTTTCGTATCGATTAATATACGAAACAATTTATTTGACAATACATAACCTAAAATTTTAATCTATAGCAGTAATTAAATCTGGATAGTCTTTAGATGATATAATTAGCAATAAATAAAAATTGGATAAATTGGAATAATTAAACACCCTAATAAATGTTGGAATGCAAAAAAAAACTGGTTTTCAATAGACTTCTGTGCAATTTCTTCAGTATTACCGATCTGCTAGGAAAGTATCACTGAGACGTTTATTTCAAAAACTTTTGTTTAATAAACAGGCAACGCCACGGAGCATCGATAATGCATTATTCAAATGTGGACGAGCATTGCAGCGGATGCGCATAAGTTATCCCATTTAAAAGTTCCGCTGAGCTCGACGTCCAATTAAAACAATCGCGTCCATAGGTGCTATTATTAATTAAGAGTTTAAAAAATCATACACTTTCAATGAATGCAACGGGAGTGCAAGCAGATGTCATTACCCGCAACTGGTCAAGTAAATTATGTAATTGTTGAGCGGCCAATGAACGTCGTATGCACCAGCGCAGAGTGGGGGCCGTGACGTCGCAGTGCACACAACCCCGGACCCCGCGCGGCGGCCGCGCGCCGCCGCGTTCACGTCGAGTGCGACAGTGTGTTCTCAAAATGGCAGACGGGTTGTGCACGGGTGATCCGATCGGCGATGTAATCGAAAAGACAGTTATGAAAGACTTCAATAATGTTATGGCATGTGAGACAAATGACAGTGTGAATGATGTTCCGTGTAAGAAAGTGAATAGCTTTTATATTGCGAGTGCGAGTGATAAGTTATTTAATAAGTTGTGTGATGATAACGATGGATCCAAACATGAGGGATTCTTGCCTTGCGAGGACGATTGTAGAAAAAAGAGATGCGTTGACCGATACGACAGCTCTGAATCTTCAGACAGGTGGGTCTATTGTTTATTTATTACGAATTTACTTTCTAAAGCCGGCGTTCCATTCAGCAATAGCAATTTGGGAGGTTTTGCAACGCTTACACGGTCATTGCCGTGGCCTTTACCTTAACCGAATAGTGCAAATCGAAAACGAGAGTGCACTGGTTTTTTTTAACTGGTCATACTTTCGCGATTACTACATACTTGTTTGGAGTCAATGACATTTTATTCGCCGCGTAGGTATTCCTCGCACGATCCTCGCCGTTTTCAATTGCATCCTTTGTGTATGCACTTTTTGCTGCTATCGGCCTGCACTCTACTAGTAGACTCCGCAACGAGTTTCGAGTTTTTCTTTTATTTTCCCTGCTATCACGAACCTGCTCCGTACATGCCTAATTCCGTTTCCAATTAGATTTGTGATCGCATTTCCACGTTAAATCGGACACACAGAGTGAATATTGGAGCCAATAACCGTGAATATGAATGGATTTGGCCTTGATTGTTTCAATTTAAAGGGCTAACGAGCGGAAGAGACTCTTGATTAAATAATTTCAACTTACGATGTCCCCGGGAACCCACAAATTTCCCAGATTTTGTAGTACCTTTCTTTAACAGACCTACCTTTATTATAAAGACTAATTATTTGACCGGAAAATGTGCCATGTTCGGTTTAGAAAACAATCCAAAATTATACATTTCGATAATTTAAAATTAGAACGTGAAAAATCAAATGATTTTCGTTGTTTCACCAACCATCTACAGTAGTTTTCTCATTTCGAAATACATCATGTTGCCTTTCTAGTTTTACAAAGAATTATCTGTTTGTTTATTATCTTCCCATTATTTACGTTTGATTTCACTCGAGCTTTTACACCTACTTACAATCTAGTCGTGTGTTTATTTACCCAAACAAACGACAATCAAAACCTGTTTCTAAAAACGTTTTTTAATATAATTCAGGACATTTTTTCGTGCTTCTGTCAGACTTTACTTAATTTTAAGTTGTAATGAATAAATTAGATTCATTTTAAGCACTTATATTTCACTACTTTAATTTTCTTATAGACGCTTTCTTAATTTTGAACTGAAACAAGTACCATAACCTAAAACTATTGGATTCAAAGCATAGAGACAATAACTTTTTTAACATAATAGGCCATGGAAATAAAAGCCGTACCTACGGTGGCCATCATGAGAAACTACATTGAATAACAGTGAACAGTTTACGTTTTAGTTAGGTAATAATGGTGTACAGTGCGTTATTTTTGTGGTACAATCAGAATGCATTGGTTTTGGACCTTGCTCACAGGTATGTTGTACTTCATTTCACTTTGTCCATCCTCGAAAGTTTCTCACACACACACACACACACACAAACGTGCATACGTGACGGGGGTATCTTGACTGTTCCTCTTATCACTCAGGCATTTAACCATTATAACTGGTTTTGCTGATTAACAGCTTTCCGCGCATAATCTATAAATCTCTAAAACCGTGATTACGTAAATTCTAATAGCTTCCTTTCAAGATAAATTTCAGAGTCATCGAATCGTAGGAGGACAGGTAGATATTGGTAAAATTTTAAACTAGGGAATCCGGTAAGTAAACACTAGGTGACGTGTGTCCGATTGTTATATAAAATATGAGTCTCTATTGTGATGGGGAGATAAGGAAGGTGTTATCGATAAGTGGGAATATTAACCTGATGTAGTCTTGTCAATATGCAGTGTTGTAGGTTTTGAATTAGTTTACGTATTGATAATATTGGTTTAGGAAACGGTTTTTCACGGAAAAATAGGAAGAAAACGGAAAAAAATTAACTTTTGTTTTAATATAGGATATATAATGTTCTAGCCACTAGGTTTGTTAATATAAATAATGTATACTAGGTAATTATTATATAAAAAATTACCGTTAGAAATTATTTTAATAAAAAAATCTCCATTTGCTATTTAAAAACAGGTGAGTGTATGTATTTGAAGCACCAGGTTCTATAATTTTCTAACAGTTTTTGAATAAACTGCAATTTTTTATGTTTAAGTGGATTCTCTAATAGTAGTACCTATGTATATTAAATTCGACACTTCAATAATGCAAAAAACTAATAGGTGTCACCTGTTCCTACTATTTTATAATGCAGGTGCAGGTACATAAAATTTAGCTAGCAATAAAATTATAGTTTATTATTTATAGCTTAATTTCGTTTTATGAGTAAGTACTAGGTAAAAACTTGAGGAAAAAAAGATAAAGCCGTTTTCTAAATAAATTTGTCTTAAGTGCAAGTATTTAATTGACATGTTTATTATCGCGATTTCCGTTAAGTTTATCAACTAAGTACCATGACTATTTCATTCATTGTTTTGTAAATGGCCAATCAAATGTAACGTTTTGTTTCATTTCTGGCGACATCGACAAAACTCGGGGTTATTGAAATTTTATCATTGGTAAAACCACATGTATAGATTTATCAGTGACAAAAAAATTAGCCATTATACAGGGTGATTCACAAATGGTGACCAAAAATGGAACCTCGTATTCTTCGGTGTATTTTAAGAGGAGTATTTCCTATAAAGTTTTTATCTAGGACGCTTCGTTAAAAAAATACAGGGTGTTAAACTTCAAAAGATATTTTTCATTTTTTTAAATAATTTAAAAACTAGTAAGTGAAATAATTTGAAATTGGGCACATGTATTTATGTAAACATTGTCTAAAATCTGAAGGCTTTTCCTAAAATTTTCATGCTCCAGTGGCGGAAATACAGGGTAGCGGTGGCACATTTTTCTAAATAAAGTAGTACGCCACTACTTTACGGTAACAACCATGATATTTTCGGATTCGTCTTTCAATTGTCTACAAATTACTACTCTCTTATGTTTTTCGAAAAAATTCCGATTTTCGAGAAAAACTTATAAAACGAAGTGAGAATTCGATATTCCAATATAATGCTTTTTAAAATTACATAGTGGGCTACGATAGCAACTTTGACATTCTGAGCAGTTAGAAGAAAGAATAAATAATGATTTTCATCAGATTCAAGCAACAATAAATTTCGAACAAATTACATTTTCGTTGCTAAAAAGTGTTCGTAGAAATGGAGGTATTTTTGAGCATTTAAGTACTTGAAATAAAATCAGTAAAATGATGACTAATGTTATTAATTTCCTTATTCGAATAAATAACCGAATGATTAGTGCTTGTCATGTCAATTAAGTAAAAGTGTTTTCAGTTGGTTTATTAAATTTTACTCGAAAATCAGTTTTTTTTTTCGTAAAACATAAGAGAGTAGTAATTTGTAGAGAATTTAAAGACGAATCGGAAAATATTATGAATGTTACTGTAAAGCAGTGCCACCGATACCCTGTATCTCCGCCACTGGATATCGTTTTGTCAACTTTAATGTAGAGGTAAGTTTAGTTACTTAAATCTACTCATTTTGATCCCAGAAAACTTAGCTTCGTGTACACGGAATATTTGTACACCCTGTATGCGTCTAATTTCATTGTGAGACCATCAAAATAGTTCAATTCGCTATCTAGCGGCTGTGGAGCGCATTTTTCGCAATCTATTCCTAGTGGTATAGCAAACTGTTATTTTCTCGTCAAACTTGTTAATTGTTGCTTAATTAAATTCATTGTCGACATAAAAAATGAGTAGGTGTTACGTTTTCTTCGTAATGGGTGAATAAAGTGGATGTGACACTAATCGAACAAATGAACTCACTGAATAGAGCTAGAGCTGTCTATGCTTTTCAACATTGAAAGTGTACACCATATAATAAACAAATGTAACTGACATACTTAATCAAATAGATTGTACCGCTTACGCATTTAAACATTGTTGTTGTCTTTAGTTGCATAATACTTATATGTGACAATTATAGTCAAGTAAGTAGGTATACAGCGTAGGAAAGTACCGATGGTCTATCAGAAGTACCGTGAGAGCGATAAAGTCATAGAAATACATGTGATAGACAAGGATGGCTATAATAAAGGCGTCTACTAGTCAACGCCCATTTCGCCCTTCCACAAATAAGATCCACTTCTTATTTGTGGAAGGGCGAAATGGGCGTTGACTATTAGACGACTTCATTATAGCCATCCTTGTCTATCACATGGATTTCTATGGCTTACTTTATCGCTCTCACGTAATTTCTGATAGACCATCGGTACTTCCCTACACTATATAGGTATGTAAAACATAGGTATTGACAATATAATATTCCTGATAATATCCCAAGCTTTTTGGATATGAACTTCCACATCCTTAGGATCATTGGAAAGAGAAGAGAAGAGTAAATGTTATCTTTTTATGTTCATACTTAGGTATAGCCGCCAATATGGAGCTTAACAAACGTTTTGACTAAAATAACACGGAATTAATCCAAATATATACTTTTTGATCTAGCCAGCTTAGAAAATGTCGGCATCAATCATTGTGACGAACAAATGAAGGCGACGTGAGGTACGCGTATGGTAACGTGATGCCAGTTCGTGGAATTGCTTTGTGGACTTAATGATTAACGGATTGTTCTGAGGGACGTAATAATAAAAACGTTATAATTGTATATATTTCCCGACAACGTATTGGGAAATATTTAATATTTAACGTTTTCGTTCGTTGGTTTTTCGAATTTTTATAATAGAATTTTCCCACCGCGTTAAAAACAACTAAAATCTCTCTCGAAACAATCACCCAGATCGGCTTCAGCTTTCCCAATCAGCCGGTACTGATTGGCCGTAGCAGATAGCTGCATGCTTTATTAATTTTAATTATTTTCCTTTGTTAGAGACAAAGAAAGGTTGACAGGGAACGGCTTTTAGAAATTGCCCGCCCGAGGTTTCCTAGGCTGTGTCGCCGGTAAGTGCTTTTTTACCTCCCGACGACGGTGAAACGAGCGCTGTTGCCAGGTGCGGACCGTCCTCATCGGAGGGACCGGAATGCGAAACCCTAACCCGTGCGACACGCTGACGGAGTGTTACGGCCGACTCGAATTAAACGTCTGTTTTATTAG